TTTTTTCAAAGTGACAATCCCGCGTTCACGAAACTGTTAACTAATCCTGATACGATCCCACTTTCATACTCTTATGCTACAGTGTTATTTTGATTTGCGTACTACGCAGTAACGAAAACGATATTAACGCAACCAATACTAATTCAAAGGCAATTCATATCCTTGGATATGCCATTTCACGTGACTTTCCTCCTCGACTGACACGTAAGATTACACGTGCACACCGCGCTCAATCCGTAATGCACCTCTTGTTAAAAGGTAGGTTATTTGAGTTCGGCCAGTTCGGAGCCGCGGCAGCAGAGGTTCCCTCGGAGGGTGAAGTGAGTACTACCATTTCAAAACAAAAATGCCGAACAAAGACACCACTCAGCTTAGAACAAGTCTGATGAAACTCCAAGTTAGCGATTGCAGTATTGGGCGGTGATGGGCGATGGAACGTCTGACACGGGCACGCCCGTGGCCTTGGCGGATGAGAGAAAGCGCTCCTTCCTGATGAGGCCAAGGGCACGGGGATGACGCCTGTAGTTCACGTAGAATGGTGTAAGGAGCGTTGACGCCTCAACTACGTTATTGAGCGCAAACTCTACCATAGGCAAGAAAGAACCCCACGCTTTGAACGACGTAGCGTAGCTCCTTCGGGCGTCTTCAAGGACTTGGTTTGCGCGCTCAGTTTGACCATCCGTCTTTGGGTGTAACGCGGTGGACATCTTCAACCACGTCCGAGCGAGGATTGCGATCGGAGACGATCGACGCCGGTAACACATGGAGGCAGTACACGAGATCGAGAAAGACCGCCGCTGTCTGTGTCGCGACCATGAATGCGGCAACAGGAGCAAGTTAGATCATCTTGCTGATGCGGCCGACCAAGGCGAGGATCTCGATGCGATCTTGGGGATCGCGGGGGAGGCCGAAGACGAAGTCCATGCTAACGGATGACCACGGCTCTGATATGACTGGGAGAGGTGGAAGCGGGGCTTTCTTCGATGATGAGGGCTTGACCTGTTGACACGCTTTTGCAGGAACGGATCGACTTGCGCGCCTACTTGTACATATGCGGAAGCGGGGCTTGCTTCGATGGTGAGGGCTTGACGCGTTGCCACGTTTTGCAAGGACGAACCCACTTGCGCATCCACTTGTACATATGCGGCCAGTAGAAGTCGCGCCAAAAAGACGCAAAGGTCTCTACGCATCCGAGGTGTCCACCCGTTAGGGAGTTGTGGAACGCGTGCACTGATCGGGCACGAAAAACGTCGTCCAGTGGGACGACCATACGTGATGGGTTCTCGCGATCAAAACGATCGATTAGTAGATCACTATCGAGGCCGTACCGATCCACCAGAGCACGTGAAGCCGGAGACAATCGGCGTCGGGCCGCCTCAGACGGGTTCTTCAGGTACTTGATCAGCTCGGAGCACGCCGCGTCCAACTCGTACGCGGCCGAGGTTGAGTCACGTACTAAACTAGTAACTGTGACCTCCACCACGGCAACATTGTAATGGGCTCACTGTGTGCCCACTACTTCGGCCTACACGTTAGCGCGCGTGTATGAGGAAGC